CTCATTGACAACATCTGTTTATTCAGAGTTTGTCTAATTTCTTCATATACTCATTTCACTTTAAAATATATGTATAAGGCTGGGCATGCTGGTGCATATCTGTGGTCCCAGCTGCTTGAGACTCACAAAGGTAGGCACTATATATATATATAATTTCCCCTGAATAAATGGCCAATGGGAGGCTAAGGGAGTTTTTCTCAGGCCAGAGCCAGGGTCATCGAGTGCTGCAGATCCAGTATGTTCCCTAAAAGTATCTGCCAACTCCTGGAAGCTTAGAGCCTGGCTTTGATACAAAGGCAGTGAATATAAGATAAAAGACTGAGGCTCAGGAAAATAGGAAGACATGTAAGGTGAGGCACATGGATTCTCTAAGGACTCCCAAAGGGCAGTATTGTCCTAGTGAGAGCTTCTTAACCACACTCAAGCTGGTCTGGAGCCAAAGTACATGCTATGTATGTGGCTTTAAAAAAGTGGATTGATAGTGGACCTAGCAGAGGTGCCCATAAATCTCACAAAAGAACTTTCTTTAAACCAAGGCCTGTGACATTCCCAACAGATAGTCCCAAGGACTTGAGCTTAGAATGTGATATAAGTGAGCACACATAGAAGCAAATTACCCTGAGAGTCAACAAATCCAAGTCACAGAGACTGCCAAAGATTGCAGATATCAGAATTACTATACAGAATATAAAATTGTAAAATAAGGAGATTGAAAGTATGATACAGGATGAAGAGAATAAAAATTGAGCATACAGGTTTGAAAAACAGCCAAAAAGATTGATAAAATGATACATATTTTTTAACTTAAATTTTAAAATATAACAGATTAAGTAAAAGTGAAAAAGGGAGGACTGAAATTGAAGGTTGACCTAAAGAGACCAAGAAAATGCAGAAGAGAGGTTGAGATGGAAGGATAGAATGAAAAGATATATTTCACATTCAGTCAGAATCTCACAAAAAGGTAGGACAGAGAGTTGAAAACATTCCAAAATTGGTGAATTATATAAATCCTCAGATTTAGGTAGCCAGCAAGATAAGTTTTATATTTATTATTAAGTTTTTGTTTTTTGAGACACATCTTACGTAGTTCAGGCTGGCTTTGAACTCTCTGTGTAGCCCAGGCCAGCCTTGAACTTATGGTGATCCTCCCACCTTAGCCTCCTGAGCGCTAGGATTATAGGTGTGTGCCACCATGCCTGGAAACTCATCTAATTTAAAAAGAAATCCCCTACTAGATACAGTAGTGGAACTGTATAGTATTTTGGAGAGGGAAAAAGCAGTTGAAGAGAAAAGACAGATAACCCAGAAGCAATGGCAGACAGATGGCTTATCTTTTAATAGCAAAAGTAGAAGTCAGAGATAATGTAATCAAAGTGACGAGTAAGAAAGCCATCAATGTAGACTTCATTTTTTAGGAAAACAACTACTCAAATTAATGCAAGAAAAGATATTTCCAAACCACTCCATCTTACTCCAGAAAGAATGGCTATCATTAAGAAATCAAATAATAACAAATGCTGGTGAGGCTGCAGGGAAAAGGAACCCTCCTACATTGCAGGTGGGAGTGTAAACTAGTACAACCACTGTGGAAATCAGTATGGGGATTCCTCAAAAAACTAAAACTAAAAATTCTATTTGACCCAGCTATTCTCATTCTAGATATCTTCCTAAAATAGGAATAAATAAAGGTATTGTATTCCAATGATCTATGTAGCAGCACAATTCATAATAGCTAAGTCCTAGAAGTGGCCTCTGTGTCCTTCAACAGATGAATGGATAAAGAAAATGTGGTATTTACACTCAGTGCAGTACTACTCTGCCATAAAGAAAGATGTACTCTGAGACCATAATGTTAAGTGAAATAATCAGCCACACAAGCTTAAATATGGCATGATTTCTCTTATATGAGAAACCCAAAATATAAGTGAAGAACAAAAAAGATAGATAATAGCAAACAGGGAAAAATTGCTTTTGAAAATGGGAAGGGGAAAATGAGGAACGGGGAGGGAGAAAATGAGAAGAGGATAGAAAAAGAATTAGATGTGTTATGTACACGTACCAACTCCCCACAAGGAATGTAATTATTATGTACTGCAAATGAATACTAATAAAATGACAAACTGAAAAACAAACTAAAAAGAAAAAAAGATATTCCCAAACTAAAAATATAGCTAACAGTGTAACTGCTGTGAGCCTTTTAACTTTGGAGAATGGGCAAGAGGGAAGAAAGAAAGTCTGGTGGTGAGGGAGGACCAAAGGGATTATTAGATGAGTTACTTGTGATTTAACCTCACAAGCACAAAAATACTAAATTAAAAAATGCTTTATATGAGTCTGTTATTCAGATGACCCATGAAGGCTAGACTTGATTGTTTTTGCAATTTGTAAGGCTGAACATGGGTGCAGATTTGAGAGTCCAGAGGTGGAAGGGTGCTGAGTAGAGAAGAGGCAGTGGATGACTGAATACTCTGAAGGCCGGAATTCTGGGGTTCAGTCATGTTCTCAGGATAAGTTGCTTTGGCTGACAAATGGAAGGAAAAAAATCTTAAATTTGCCATTTGTAATAGAGTCCCATTCCCAGTAAGTTAAATAGTCAAGAACAGTGTACTTGCTAATTGAAGGTTATTGTTAACAGGCTATTTCCCAGTATTTGTGAAAACAGATATTTGAAAAATACATTTTCTTTTTTTTTGGTAGCAGGAAATCAAACTCAGGACCTCGCACTTGCCAGGCAGGCACTGTGCCACTGAGCTAAATCCCCAGCCCTGAAAATACATTTTTATCTCTAGAAACTTTCTCTCTGAAAACATTTTCCTAAGATTTGATGGAAAGCTTGCTTACAGTGTTACTGTATCTTTATCTGAGTGTTATAGTGAAGTGAGGTGTTAGTCCGGAATTAGTTAAAATCTAACATTGGTTAAAATTTAAGGGTATGGTTCTTAGCACGGGCCAAAATCTGCAACAGTTCAGTTGAAGTTATTATATGAAAACAGTTTGTATTTGGACTACTCTATAAGTTTTATTAAACCATCCAGTTATTTAGTTCATTTGTGAATTATGGAAATACGCTAACTCCAGGACTTTATCTCTTAGAGACTTGAATAGAATTAGATTTGTGTGGAATAGGAATTATTTGAATTTATAATTTTCTGCTTTCTTATTACTTCTCTTTTTATCTGTAGTGAAAGTTCATATTACTATGATATATTTGATAAATTACTATGGTGAAAACTCAGAAACTGAGATTGAATAGTTACTGCTTTTAATCCCTGTCAAAGTCATAGGCAGATTTCTTGGCTGACTGTATCTTGAATAAAAATGTTTATATATTCAGCATTACAAAATATAAACCACTTTTTTCAACTAATGAAATCACTCTCTGCCCAATAAACTGTTAGGTTGTAATTTATGATTTTGTGTATAAGATACAAGATTTAGTGAAGCTAAATCATTTGAGTTTGAGAATACAGTATTTCTGTGATCACGGTTAGGTTGGCTTGATGGACTTTGACAGTCCCTGAAATTCACTTTTAATTTATAATTCCTTCAGTATAACTTACTGAAACCAACTGTAAAATGTTCAGAACTCTTAATCTAATTACCTAATTTAAAATAGGATTTTAGTACTTCACTCTTTGTTCCAAACAGTAAGGCTAAAAAGTGATTGATTTATTTTGATTTCACATAGATTAAAGCCAGAATAATTGTGAGGATTAATTACATAATTCCTGGGCAGCACTGGAATTACAAATTCTCTTTGTTTTCTTTTCTCTGGCACTGGGGATTGAACCCAGGGCCTTGCACATGCTAGGCAGGTGCTCTATTATTGAGCTTCATACCCAGTCCTTTTCAAATTTGAGACAGGTTCTCACTAAGGCGCCGAGACTGGCCTTAAACCTGTGATCTTCCTGCCTCAGCCTCCTTAGCAGTACCTGGAGAAGATTCTCAGAATATATTGCAAAAAAATACAATAAAAATTCATGATAGGAAAAACAAATTCTCGGTTGAGTCATCATCACTATATACTTAATAACCTTTATTTTCCCATTCATGGTCAGCTGCCAGACTTCCACATGACTTTCTTAGTATGTTTTATAGGGGGTCTTTTCTCTAAATCCAGGGAACCAACATTGCCCTTAAATTCTTTTGAGTAAGGCAGAATGCAATCAATAAAATACTTAGATGTTCTTATTCTTGTGTAGAGAAAGCAGTCAGGAAAAAAGTTTGAATTATTTGCATGAGCATCTTTAATGGCTAAGTCTGTGGAAGCAGAACTTAGTTCTTGAATGTTAATCAGCTTTTTCTTTTTTAAAAGTGCTATACATTTTGCACTCAGATATTTTTACACTTTAATATTGAAAGAGATGTTCATCTGCTAGAGGACTGTTGGTGCACAATTTATGTTCCACAGGAAAGCACTTGATCTGTTGGGAAATCTTAAGGCAAGATATGTCTCCATCTAAAATGTAAAATATTAATACAGATGGAAAAAAATGATTGACTTCCGATGTGTTCCAAAGGAGGGATTACGTTATTTAGAGGCAGACTTTGCAAGTGGAAAATAAAACTTCAGTCATGGTCATATAAATTTTCATGTAATAAAATCATGGCCTTTTATGCCACCTAGTATTACTCCCCTGACGTCTGTAGAAATGTTTGGCAGACTTGTTCATGATGATTCATTACCCATCCTGAAAATTTCAATAAAATGATACTGTATAGAAATCTGACCTGAGACCCTCCTTGGACTCCATGTTCCTGTCTTAATTGTCTCTCCACCCTCATCCTTCTAACTTTGAAATGTGGAGGGAGAGAACTGTATGCTCTTTGAAGCTAAGGAAATTTATGAAATCAAGATAGTTTCTGGCGGGAGATGGAAGCTCAGGAGTAGAGCACTTGCCTAGCATGTGTGAAGCCCTGGATTCTTGGCCCCACCAACAGAAGGAAAAAAATTGTCGGCCTCTGAGAGAAAATTAACATTTCTTTTCTTTCTCATATAGATTGTCCTTCTACTCAGGCCATTCTTCATTCTCCATGTACTGCATGGTCTTCGTGGCAGTAAGTACTTGTCTCCTGAGGGTTGGGGTATATGTGCTATGTGGGGTGGGCGTCTTTTCCTGTGCTGTGTGGCTGATGCCTAAGACCATCGGCAAGTCTCCTGCTGCACTGCTACTCCTTTGCTTTTACCTTGGGTCATTTTCTGGCAGTTTCTGTATCCTCAGAGCAGGTCACCTCTCCGAATTGCTGGAGTCTCCTAGTGGGGCATGGCCTTACCTGGTGCAGCAGTCGCTCTTCTTCCTCTTGCTATCTGATGTGAAGAGGGGTTGAGCTTTGGTTACTGGACGTGAAGACAGCTGTTGCTGCTTCTATTTGAGCAGATTTTGTTTGCCTTTCACTTTTGGAAATATTTCCTAGACTGCCTTCCACGGGATCAGGGTTTTGCACTTGTGTGAGTTGTCGTCTGTGTGACTCCCAAGTCCAGTTCTGATCACTAGCCTGTAGAGCAGCATGCTGAGTTGCATTTGCATTATACCATGCTGGTAGTGAGGAGACATAAAGTATCTGTACCTCCATTTTGCTTATTGAGCTGCAAATGAATATGTAGTTTTCTACTAGAGTAATGAATAGAAGATCAGGCTTTAGGACACATTCAAGGGGTCTTTGAATTTTTATTTTTTAAATGTCTTTTATTTAAATATAAATTGCTTATAAAATTATATATTCTACTGTATAGTGTATTATCAGCACAGGGTGGGGAGGATCTCTACCCTAACAGACCAGCTATAACTTCTGTATCTTAATTTGCTTTAAAAGTAGATTTTTATATAGTTGTATTCCATGTAAATTTGCAGATTCCTGGTTTTTTTTTTTATTTGATCACATTAAGTGCTGTATGAATTTTTAAAGATCGGCTTTTAAAAATCCATGCTATAGAATACTAAGACTGTTGGGAGTTAGTTTTGTTTCAGAGGAAATTTTAAGTCAACTTTACCTGAATCTTGCTTTTATTTGAAAAACCAAATTTCAAAGTGAAACCAATGTAAAAATTGCAGATGTTATATGAAATTCAAATTCATGAAACCATTACAAACTCACTTTTGGCTTCTCCTGCATTTCTGGAAACTGCAAGGCTTTCATCTTATGTTAATTTAATTTTGTGAGGAAGCAAAGGGTACAGATTCACAATTTAGGGCTTCCTTTTTAAAACACACACTCAAATGTTTTTGATGTGCCATGGGAAATGTGACTTACTTAAAGGCAATTAATAGCAAATACTATTCTAATTTCCTCTCTTCATTTACCTTTTTTTGGAAACTGCTAAGTTTCTAAAAGGAGCCTTTAAAAACAAATTAGGGCATTAGAGAAGGAGAAGGCTAGGTAATGATGAGAGCCACAATATCCTGGTAACTTTCTCCACAGCATAAGTTTGTGACTATACTGAATGGCTTTTAAAGTGTGGACATGCTTCATAGGCTGCAGAACCAGACCCACAGGGCATCTTTTGTTGTTGTAATTCACTCATGTGTGTCTTCCTTCCTTATTGAGAGACCCAGGAATCTGCTTTGGTTAATACTGATGATTTGCACTTTATGCTGTTTATGCTGTTTTTACTTTTGACTCTAATAATTTCCATGAAGAGGTCAGATAGGGAGTAGGGGTTGGAAAGGGCCACATAAGGCCTGTGAGCTCTGTAGGCCACACCTCTTGACAATCAGGTGCCCTTGCTTTCCTGATTACTTGATCTGAACTCAAGCTCAGTTTATTTGAAGGTTGGGTGATGCAGATCTGGCAGGTAACTTTGACCAACTTTTTAATTATAAAGTCTCAGCTATACCATACTTCAGCTCTTACCATTTTCTGTTCTCTCCTTCTCCAAAAGCATCTGTTGCATCTGTATATTCAAATAGAAACTTGTTTTGAGGTCTCTTTTATGAAACATGAACCTCAAGTAGACAGGATGGCATGACTGTTACAGAGGGCCTGAGTGGCAGGCCGGCTCTGTGGATCTGCCAGGGCCTATTTCTAAGCTCCTTCTTAGAAATATACACACAGGGAAAATGACCTCAACCATAATTTGCTAAAAGGATCACTGTGCGCCATTTAGATGTAAATTTTAATGAAAGAAAAGTCTATATAAATAGGTTTGTTATACACCAAGGCTTTTCTGAAGAAGAGGAACTCTACAGTAGCATCTGACTCTAGGCAGTGGAAATATTTACTTGATTAGGACATAGGCCCCAGCTTTGATTTCAGTCTTGAATACACAGATGTCTTCTTGCTTTCCAGCTTTCTGTATTTATATACAACATTTAACCTCTCTCCTCCAAATTCCTTAGGCAGTGACTCATCGTATTTCCCTGGGCATCTTGGCACCATAGGTCAGTCCCAGATTTGGGTGGAGATGTAGTCATTTAATTCCTGAAGAATTCCTGACACTACCAAATTACCGTGTAGTTAAAAATGTCTCTTAAAGCAAACACCCTGGCCATTGTGCTTCTACTTTGGCAGGCAGCCCAGCCCTGCAAACTCACAGTGCCAAGGAGTTAGTACCAGTGAAAAGCACCTGGGCTGGTGGGAACTTAGGGCACAGCTGCTTTGTGCGTAGCCAGTTTACAAGCTTGGTGACATCCCTTACATTTGGTCAGATGCCAAAGATTCCAAATTTATGTGATTATTCAGAACAGCCATGCTATAGGTGTGAGGAATGTACTAAAATACTTTTCCTGGCTCTATCCTATATTCTCTTCCCTGCCACAAAATTCCTCCTTGGCCTTACTCCTCCTGTGTTTAGAGTGCCACCCACCTATCTACCACCCTCTCTTGGATTCATACAATTCCTTATTTAGCACTGATCCTGTTACCAGTATTGCTAATATTTCATGAAGATGTTTCCTACAATGTATAGTAATGCCCAGTATTGGGCAAATGAAGAACTCATTACTCACAGCCCACAAGAATCCTGCCTAAGGTGGTAGGATCAAGATGTAAATTTAGGAATTGCATGAGTCCTAAAGATGGTGAAGTTGAAGCCCAGAGAAGAGTACAGTGAGGCCTACATTACGGTTTATCCAGTGTAGGTGGGACAATCAGTTTATTTTGCTGGGCTTGGTCTTAGAGGCAGTGTTTCAAAGTAAGTTGACCAAGGTGTATTTCTTTCTGTTGAGCATGCCGTTAGTCTAGTTCAGGGGTCAGCAATTTTTTTCCCCAATAAAATGTCAAATAACAAAGACTTAGGCTTTGTAGATCATATATTCTTACTTTTTAAAAATAACTTTGTGTGTGTGGTGAAGAAGACTGAACGCAGGGCCTTGCACATATTAGGCAAGCCCTTTACCACTGAGCTACCTCCAGTCCAGGAATAACTGGTTGCAAACTGACCCTTTGACTTTTTAAAATGAGGGTGGGGTAAACCCCTTATGTTAAGAGTATAGAGTATTAAGGGACTGTGAGACAATACACTTTGCAATTAAGTGTTACCAAGTTTAGCCAACAAGGAACAAAGTAAAAGTAAACCAGCTTCAGAAAGTATATTATTCAACAATGATTTAAAAAGTGAGATGCCTTTAATAGATGCCAAATGTTTTTTCAGAAATTTTAGCCCAAAATTGTTATGTCCTCAGTTTGAGCAGCTATAATCAATCACTACAAACTGGATGGCTTATAAACAACAAAAATGTATTAAGCAGATCTGAAATTTACATGTGTAAGCAGCATAGTGGCACGCTCAGGTTCTGACAAAGACCCTCTCTGTGGTTGCAAACTGACCCTGCTGTGGTCATCTCTTGGGAGAAGCAGGAGCACTCTCCAGGGTCTCTTAAAAGAGCACTGATGCCTTTCATGAGGGCTTTGCCCCATGATCTAATCACTTCCCAAAGCCCCACCTCCTATCACCACCTTGAGGGTTAAGATTTTAACCTGTGGAATTTGGGGGGCACCAATATTCAGGCCAAAGCAGTACCCTTTAGTGATAGTAAAATGTTCATGTAGTGTCACAGACGTTGAATTTGAATTTTTAAAAATGTGTAGTTTTTATGTAAATGAAGTGTACACCTTCTAAATATTTTCATGTGTGGCCCTATGCAACAAATTCTTCACTATTTATTCTGACCAGGTGTTTATGTACTCTGTAGAACTACGGTGGAGCTCTTCGCAACACCTCAAGTGTTGATCTGCTTAGATTACGAGGTGACTGCACTTCTCAGCAGAGCATCTGCTGGTTGCAGCTGGACCGGCCAGTTTCCTATACCCTCTTTAGGTTTGAATATCTGATTTTTTGAGCAAGTTGACTCCTTTTCTCCTTACTGCCTTAAGGAATAAGAAATTGTGGGTATAATCTCTAGTGATATCCCAACTAAGCAGCTTTTATTTAGTTCTTTAATATTACTGGAGAGGGGCTTGTATCTATTCATGAGAGAGAACACTTGACCCTGCATTGGGTAGTGACACTCACCTGGGGTTTTCTGACTAGGGGAGCCCTACCAGAAAGAGCAGTTTATTTTGCTCTTCATGTAGGCAAAAACCGTACTTGGAACTTACCTTTTCACAAGAGCCAGTAGTGACACCTGATTTCGATAGGTGCATTCTTGAAGGCTAGTGGGTTTCCAAGGCTCATTCTTCTCAGCACACTCAGTGGTGCTACTTGATTTGCTGCGTTCTTGCTTTGAGTCTCCGAAGGCTCAAGCAAACTTTTATTAGAGATGAGAAAAGAGAGGCCTAGTGGTGGTTTCCTTTTGAGGCCTTGAGGTTGACTTTTTTATGTATAGATTAAAGTAGGGGGAAGGAGTGCGAATGTTAGTCAAGTATATGCTGTATCTTTTTCATTAAGTCTTCTTTCTAAATTTGTGCTTTTGGAAACTCCCGTGTCTCTTTCCAATTCTAGAGTCATTTACCTGTTACAGCAGGGGTGGCAGTGGTGGCAGGCTCTGGTGTTCCTTTTGTAAGCAAGACTGTTAAGACTCTTGATAGTATTTTAGGACAGTGTTCAAATTTGAGAGGGGGAGGGAGTGGAGGGAGTCATCCTTTCCAAGCAAGGAAGGGAAGTCTTTTTGTATGAGCAGCTAACTAGGGATTCTTTCCAACTATTCTCCTTGTCTCGGGCTGCTAGGTTAATTCCTTTCATTTCCTCTTTAACAATTAGATCACTGCCGCAAATCTCTTATTAGTGTGGCTTCCTGGACTAGGTCTTTTCTCCTTCCCTCTTTACCACAGCCAGGGAGAGAGTCTTCCTCTCTAACTTGAACACTTTGGATAACCCTAATTACAAAACCACCCATCATGATTGGATCCCTGCCAGCTGTGTTTGTTTCCCTTGCTGGTCTGCATGGGGTCACAAGGATATTGCCACAGCAGTCAGAAGGCTTTGTCTCCTGGGAGCCCTGATGCAAAGAACTGCAAGTTACTGCCTCTGTTCTGCCCTTCTGCTGTCCCACACCAAAAAACTGCAGGTTACCAGATCAGTTAGACTGGCCAGAAGTGCGAAGAACCTTTCTTGACAGACCTGGGGAGAGCTGAGGCAAATGAGCTGTTTGGCTTAGGCCAATACAGTAAGTTTGTACTCCTGGGATTTTGTTTCTTCTTGCTCTTTGAATTCAGGTTTATAAAAACATCAGTTTCCCTCTCAGTGATTTTTTTTTTTTTTTGATACCGGCAGTCTAACTCAGGACCTCACAATTAGCAGCCAGGTCCTGTGCTGCTGAGTAACATCCCGGCCCTTTCTTAAAATTCTATAATCATTTTAGTCTCAGAAATCCAAATTTTAAAGAGGGTTTTGGTTATGCACATAGGGGAAGTTCTTAATTGGCTTTATCTTTTGGTTCTAAGCAGCAGATTCCCTTGGACCTCCTAAAAGAAAAGAGGTTTATAGTGAAGAAAGATATCCAAAAAACCAGTGTCCAACAGGAACTGAACCTGTCTCATGGGCCACTTGAGTTTTCACAGGGTAGCTGCCACTCTGTTCCCTTTTTTTTTTTTTTTTTTGGTACTGGAGATCGAACTCAGGACCTTGTGCTTTCGAGGCAGGTGGCAGAACCACTGAGCTAAATCCCCGGCCCCTGTTCCCTTCTTTTTAAGTAAATGGCTTATTCTTTGCCTAATGGTAGCTTTTGCTTCCTCATAACTTTAGTTTGCAAATAACCTATCATGTACCCATTAGGTGCCCTTTCTACAACTTCTCAAGTAGAGCATATCTTCATACTTTCAGGAGGAATTCCTGAGGGAGAGTAGCCCAGCACAACTCTTGGTGAGGCCTAGTGCATCTAGTCATCTAGGCAGTGCTCTCCCAGAAGAGAAGGCAGGATGACATCGTCCAAATAGGGCTCACCCCTTCTGTTGTGTCTGTCTACTCAGGCAATTTCCTTTAGAAGGGGAACTACAAAATAACAGGCACTACTGCTGAGCCTGACGCCACACTCCATATTGGACAAGGAATTAAGTTTGTGTAACTCTTTAAAAGGCAGGCAACTGACGGTCTTACCCAGAATGTGTTCAGTGTATGTTATCTTTAAGTAAATGGCATGTACAGGGAAGGGGAAGAGTGGAGTTTGTGAAGGCAAGGACCTAGTGAACCCTGTTACTACTAGCTAACATTAAAGCATGTGTTCTGTTCCTGTTTCTTGTACTAAGAACAGTGCCTCAAAACTTCAGTTATTGGGTTTCCCTTTGGTAGTTAGGGAAACATGGAGGAACAGAGACTTCCTTTTAAAGGAAGTCATGCCATGTACTTGCTTCGGCCAAAATCATGGATGATGTACAGTAATGCCAGTGGAACCAGAAGCTATGTTTCCTGGCATACAAACACCTTAAGTAATGCCACTTCTTAGGAGTCATTTTCTTTCTTCTGGGGAGGATACATTCTGGTGTGTTTAGGATAAAAACAGCAGCCACAGACTTTCAGTTCCTTGCTCTGAAAGGATAAACCAATTTCAAAAAGTCATAAACTTTATGAAAAGTTAAAAAGTGAAAGAGTGGGAAAGGAGATGATAGTCAAGAGGTGAACATTTTGGAAAGTAAGCGATAGAGAAAGCGAATTCCTTAGTGTATAGATAGGGTGGGATCTTAGACTTGTATAGCTGAGCCTGAAAACAGGCTTTGGAAGTGGAGCCACCATTACTGTGCTCTCTTGAGGCCATTGAGCCTACTCAGTAGGAGACCTTTGGCCTGGGGGATAGAAGCCAAAGTCTGGAGTTCTGGGCCTGTCAACTATGAAACTCAAGTAAGCTAAGGTTCAAGAAACTGTTTTACTTCCTTGGGCTCAAAATGAAATGGAAGAATCCTCATAGGAAGAGCAGGGCCTTAGCCTTTGCAGGGCCGCACTGAGTTCCTGAGCCCCAGGAAACACAGCACACCAAATAGGAAGCACTCTCAATTAGCCAGTTTCTCCCAGAGCTAAACACAGTTCTGTGACCACAAATGGCCTTCAAGTCACGGCCACTTGTCACCAGAGAAGTCAGAGTCTACAGTGTAAGATTAGGAGTAGGAACACAATTAGGAGATTTCACAACTCCCTTCAGTGACATAATTTCTGGGTCCACCGTCAATGTTTCACTGATGGGAGAAATATTTAGGTAGATATTTAAGGAGAAAACCAGTTACTTACAGGGTAAAGGTTTCATGTGAAGTGTGTTAGAGCACATTTGATTACTGATCCATAGTGAATGTTAATTCTTTTCTTTGGGAACCAACATCCTCAATGGAATAAATGTGGGCAAACTAATTCTTAACATGTCTGCAGGCCACCTACCTTCTCTTTGAAAATGAATAGCTTCCAGTTACTGCAAAATTAAAATGAATCGAGACAGGGCTCTTAATAGTTTTTCTCCAGTATCTTGAAAAAGAAGTAAAAGTAAGGGGTAAAGCTGGTGAAAGCCAGTAGAACTTAAAACTAGCTAATAAGTCAGACAAACTGTTATGTGCCTTTAGAACTAGATGTTTATACTATATACTTGACAAAATTAGACAACCTCTGGGTTTTTGCCAGCTGCTGACAACACCCACAGCAGCACCCAGAGGTCTGGTAGTACATTGTGTACATTTTAAATAGGCAGTGTCAATGGGCAGAGCAAGGTACATTGTTTGAGGAGGACTGCATTTAATTAAGTCTAAAGAATTATTGAACAAGGGCCTGGGGATTCAGCTCAGTGGTTCTGCCACCTGCCTCTCAAGTGCAAGGTCCTGAGTTCAATCCCCAGTACCAGGAAAAAAAAAAAAAATCTGGTAGATATGAGAAAGGGGAAATTCTCAGATCTGAGTAGGGTACAGAAAAGGGTATGGGTGTTGTTGAAAGAACAAATTCCTTTGCTGATTGTGACTGTACTCCAAGCTGTCTGACTTATTTAGGTAGATGATTATATTTTGTATACAGACGATTTAGTTTCATTTGCCTGTCCCCCTTTTGAGACAGGGTCTCGCTACGCAGTTCAGGCTGGCCTCAAACTTGCAATGATCCTCCTGCCTCAGCCTCCTAAGTGCTGGGACTACAGGCATACACTGTCAGCCTGGCTCAGTTGCCCTTTTTAATATGTTTGAGGCTAGCAGAGCTCTCAAGTAAATTGGTATTAGGCAAATAATCTCTAGACAGTCTGGATAGAAAACAGAAATCTGGCCCAGGGTAATAACAAACTCAGAATGCTAACATTTTATTCCAAGACTCATAACTAATAAGAACACTGCCTTTGCATGGGCCAGGGATTTAGCTCAGTGGTTCCGGTGCCTGCCTCGAAAGCGCAAGGTCCCAAGTTCAGTCCCGGGTACCAAAAAAAAAAAAAAAATGTAAATGGTTATTTACCATCAAAATTATAGCGGAGGAGGATCTGGGGTTTTAGATCAGTGGCTCTGCCACCTGCCTTTCAAGGACAAGGTCCCGAGTTCAATCCCCAGTCCAAAAAAAAAAGAATTATAGCACAAATTGCAAGGGGAGGATCCACCCTCTTCTAATCACAAGCTACCAGAGCAATGCTGTTTTAGGCATTAATGAGTACAAGAATGCTTGCCTAAAGTCCTATTCCATGTATAATAGTATTTTGATAACCTTTTAATGCCAACTCTTTAGAGGTGTAATACTTTATAAAACACTGTTCTCGGGTAGCATGTTAAATAAATCATTTTCTTTATTCTTTTCTATTAGCTTTATCTTCAAGCCAGGATGAAGGGAGATTGGGCAAGACTCTTACGCCCTACACTGCAATTTGGTCTTGTTGCTGTATCCATTTATGTGGGCCTTTCTCGAGTTTCTGATTACAAACACCACTGGAGTGATGTGTTGACTGGACTTATTCAAGGAGCTATAGTTGCAATATTAGTTGTAAGTATACAGGGCAGCAGCCTACATTTTGATACTATTAAATATTTGGGTAAATAGAAAAAAACTCTCAAGCCAGGCCTGGTGGTGCATGCCTGTAATCCCAGCACTCTGGAGGCTGAGGGGTAGGAGGATTGCTCCAAGTTCAAGGCCAGCCTGGGCTACATAGTGAGTTCAAGGCTAGCCTGAACCACATAGCACACCCTATCTCAAAAAACCAAAAGAAAAAAAAAAAAATCTCTAGTGAGAAAACTATGAAAAAGTAGAAAACAACTTAGTATTTTCTATTAAAAATGCTAATGTTGGCTGGGGATTTAGCTCAGTGGTTTTGCCACCTGCTGTGCAAGCACAAGGAGCCGAGTTCGATCCCCAGTACCAAAAAAAAAAAAAAAAGGTAACATTAAAGATAGGTAAAAACCAGGTTACTCTGCAAAAGTTGGAAAAATTTTAGTATTTTTATTGTAAAAGCCTCTGACTATAAACAGTATTTCTTGGTATGAACTGAAAAAAATTTACATGAAGAATAACTCATTAAGTCTTAGTGTAGGATGAAGCTATTGGTAAGATGAATAAAGCAACTCTTATTTGTAATAATATCCTTTGAAAATACTCCTATTGGCACTAACTTTTTTTACATCCTGAATATGTACCATCCAGTGGATATTCTCTTGTTTATATTTATCTTGGGAAAGTGCTTGTTTCAACTTTGCGTGCAGATTTCAAACTGAATTGTACTGTTAAAATATTTTGTCCTGTTCTAAATATAACTTGTTCTATCTAGGCTGTATATGTATCAGATTTCTTCAAGGAGAGGAATTCCCCTTTTAAAGAAAGAAAAGAGGAGGACTCACATACAACTCTGCATGAAACACCAACGGCAGGAAATCACTACCGGAGCAATCACCGGCCTTAAAGGGTGGCAAGGTGGCAGATGAAGCTGGTCTGCTTTCTAAAGAAAAACAACTGCAACCAGAAGGCAAGAAGATGTACCCTTCTTCTTGGTGTACAGGCATTTATGGGACTGCTGCTACTATACCTCTTGGATGCCCACTTTATTTGTGTAAATAGTTCCAGTTAACACAATGCTTAATACCTGAAGTTCATTCAAAAAATTTCAAGCCTTCCACTAAAAAAATGCCCCACCTATACATTTTTATTAAAAAATGTAATGCTTATGTACATATGTGTATGTAATACGCTTTCTTAGGATGACTGATTTAAATATAATACATATTAAAATGTTTGTGGACAACTTTCTTGAGATGAAGAACCACATAAATACTTTGAAGCATGTGCAGTCAAATGTAATCAGGTGGTGAATAATTTTAAAGTTTCACATTCCTTAACCTCTTTATAAGTACAGGCTTGCAGCAAACACAATATCTCTCTTGATTTTGGTGATTCCTAAGAGAAAAGAAAATAAGGTTTCAACTTTTAAGATTACATACAAAGCATGTTACTTTTTTGCTGAGGCTTTAAAGATGCACAATAAACCTGATTGAATTGGTGAGAAAACAATCTAGAAAATAAAAAAATCTTAGAACATCCATTTAAGTCATCTACAACATCCATTTAAGAGGTAGAAAACTTAGAGACCAGACCCCTGTTTTTTTGATTTTGAAGTACTATGTTGGGGGGCTTGTGTATCTAAAACTATTTGAAAAGACATTCTGGGAAGGATTAGGCTATCAAATGAAGTTAACTGATCCAGAAAGCATGGATTTTTACCCTACATCAGAAGACAATATATTATTTTTAGTTATCACACAGAATTCTTATTGGACTAAGGCAGGACAAATATAAATTTCATACCTAGACTTAAACTGAGTGATTAGGCCTGCCTGTACTAACCACGTGGAAACATAAGCTAATATTAACACCTAAGTTAGCAGAAATCACTAGCACTGACTGACTTAGACCAACACAGTGGGCTTCCATTCTTTGATTCTTTACTTCATAGTCTTGGCTTGGCCATGAGGAAGCGACAAAACTATTTACAAGCATGGTATGTTCCCCATTACTATCACTTTCATCTGGTCTCCCTGCCTCCACCTGGCTATTCTATGGGCCTATCCTTAATGCAACAGCAAGAAATACTTTTATTTAAAAAAATGCTGCAGCACATCACTTTTCTGAACCTTCAATCACTGCAGAATAATGGCTGGGGCAATGTCATTTCCTTTCTCCCCCAAAATTCCTATTTCTACCCGCTGCTCATGCTGTTCTAGACACACTTGCCTCTTGCCGTTGCTCAATATACCAAGCATATCTAAAGGGTCTTAAATGTCACTTTTTTTTGGTACTGGATATCGAACTTGGGACCTTGCACTTGCGAGGCAGGTGGCAGAACCACTGAGCTAAATCCCTGTCCCCTAAATGTCATCTTTTGCCTGGAGGCTACTGGACCACCTCATCTATCTCCCAATTCTCTTTTTCCTGGAAACCCTCCCCCATCCCAGTTGTAGACTAAGGACCATGTGGTATATTAATTATGGACTTGTTTGTAAGCTCCATGGAAGGAGGGATTTCATTTTGTTTACTGCTGCATCCCTTAGTGCAGTGATGGCAAACGTTTTAGAGCTTTCAATGATAAATAGTGGGCTGTAGCACGAGTGCCATAGGTTCACCAACACTGCCCTGGTGCTTAAAAACAATGCCAGATAGTAAGTGCAAAATAAAATACATGAAAATGAGCATAAATACTGAAATCTCAAGACTTTTTCCCAATAGACCCTCTAAAATTTTATAGAAATACTAGGTAGTCCTCTAGTGTCCTAGGTTGTGTTGATGGCTCAAGTCTCACAAGATTTTCCTAAATTACTAAAAAAGCTTATGAATGTGATACTGACCTTCAGCAAATTTATTTTCCAGCTCAGTGTTTCCAATGGCTTTTGCAGCCTGACACATTTGTCGAAGCAATTCTTCTAGGCGCCTCATACAACGAATTATGCTGCCTGGAGAAAAAAGGAACAAATTACTTGTAAAATTGATATAAAATCAAGAACAGTTGAAATTTTAAGAGGCAAGGCAGGAAAACATAGGATGCTTAACTAACAGTACTTTGAAGGACTTTCCATGAAGTAAATAAACGAGCAAACCTGACTGGCTTGCCTGCTAGGCACTAGGAAGTCTACAAAGAAAGGTTTAATTCCAAGCTTTGATGATTGAGACACAGATTTACTACTAATATCTACTAGAATCAGGTAAACAAAATGCCTTGAGAGAAGAGGAGAGCAACTTTGGGGAAGGCTGGCAAACAACATATACTGTGGGTCTATAAGAAGAAGGTCTCTCAGGCAGTGACAAGGGAAGCCCACTGAGTGCACAAGAGGCCTGCAAAGTGCAGCTATTCAAGGACCCTGGGTGTGGCTCACTTGGCATCTGGACACCAAGCCTACCATCCTGTAGTGAGAATCCAACAGGATCAGATATCTTTTTAAAGGTGTCACCATTTAGTCTTCTTGACTTTAGACAGTTTCATTTCATTAGTGCTTTCTTCACAGTGGTCCTCATGGAGGTACCAAAGGGGAGATAAGCCGGTGTATCCCAACTCTGGGTGGCAAGTGTGTCTATATCACAACTAAAGCTGTAAAGTTTCACTTGTTAAACTTGTGCCAAGGAGGGGCCCAGGATCCCTTCTCAAAGTGCTAGCTACCTAAATTTAAGTGTCTTGGGACTTTGCATTTAATGTCTGAAATACATTAGGAATATCAGTTCTCAAAATATCACTATAGAAACAGCCCCATTTTACCTTCTTGCAACAGTGGAATAATTAACATTACGTTCTTATAATTGCTGCTCAATGTATTTTAATGCCCTCCATATTCTAAGGGAGGAAAAATAGGTGAAAGCCAATTCCTAAAGCAGAATGCAAATAGAAATCTGATAGTTTGTTTTCTTTTAATGTGCATAGCTCTTGAAATAATTCTACTTTAAACACAAACATAAATGTGAAAAATTCTGAAGTTCTTTATGGTCGGTAACAGCAAAAATTCAAAGGCTTCCCACATATCCAACAATATTATACAACTATTAAAATTATGATATTGATATATTCATTTATGTAAGTGTGGATACCATAACCGAGGCAAAATTAAATGAAACTTGGCCAGGATCATTAATCTAGTGAGGGGGTAGGACTTAAGCTCAGGGTTTGTCCTATTTGCCAGGTATGCGGGCAGCTGGAAAGGGTGTGATCAAGATTGAGGAAAGTCAAAAAAGCGCGGAAGGTGGCCCTGGGATTCAGAGAAATGAGGGATAGAAAAAGGATACATGCATGTGAAATGTCTAGTTGTAAGAAAACAGGTTTCTAGTTTCCATCTACATGTAACAAGAATGATCAAACAGAAAGCTGGGTAAGTTGGAAGTAGATGCTTGTGGACAACAGTTAAGAATCTGAAATTGCCACTAAGGGAAGGGGTAGAGGAATCCCAGAAGTCCTGCATGAAAGATTCAAGACTTTGGTCCTGGAAGTGCATTTAAGTTGTTCCTTCTATCATCCAAGGACCATAATCATGACACTAATAAATTATGGGAAAGACTAAATGAAGTAATACGTACAAAGTGCCTGGCACATATTGACTGCTCAGTACTCATCATTTTTTTACTATTACTGAGAAGGTCTGATTTCATTCTGAGATAAGATACTATGGGCCTTAGTGACATCAAGACTTAATTTTACCCAAAAGAACACTTCTGCGTAAGTATGTAAGTAGAGAAAGTGAGTTATTAGATCACTCCAGGTTGGTGATGCATGAGGCAGAAGGAGAATGAGAAACCCAGTTACTTCCTAATTCTACTTCCATGGCTATAAAAAGAGGAAGTATGTGAAGAATTTGGGGAACATTTTCTAGGCAGAGTGGCTGTATCCTCTCCCAATGCAGAAAGCCTCCAAAAAATGAGGAAGTGGCCATATGATACCCATGACCTATAGTCTACTTTCTAAGGTATCTCATACTGAGCCTAATCAACTACTTTGAGCTTTCAAAAGTTAACAGATTAAAAAAAAAGTTTATTGTTTCTTCTACTAAGAACCTTTGACAGGGTAAAAAAGTGACTTCACAAAAGTTTTCAAGTAGCCATGACAATATCACTACCCACTCCCAACATTGCTACTATCATTTTATAGGTGTGAAATAGAAGAGTTAGTGCCTTTCAAGTTCAGATTAATAGTTTTAGAAGAAATGATTAGAAGCCAAGACTTCTGACCCCCTTTACCCCCAAAACTACAATGGTGGGTAAAGTATATTAGCTACCCTTTAGAACAATGGGTTCCTTTTTGACCATTGAGGGTGAGAGTTTAAGGAAGAATCCTGGGCTTTTGTAAGCTAAGAACCTTGTAGGAGGTTAGCTGAGGAAATTAATTGAATACAGATAAGGATCAGTGAAGAATACTTAGTTAATAACCTAAAGGGGAAATAAAGCAGAATGTCTTCTTAAAACCAGCTGCCTATATAGAGATACAGAAGACAGAAATGCACAAAAACAGCCTGAGGGTAGGAAAGAATGAGACAGAGGAAGAAATGGGAAGGAAAGCAAAACCATTAGGCAAACACAGGAAACTAGCTTCCCAAGTAAGGGAATGAAAGGAAATCCAGATTCCAAAGCTTCTGGTTATCTAGACAAGAGGGTAGGGGGTTGGATAGAGGCAATTAACATCATATTACGTACACAACCAGAAATTAAATGTTTGTACAAAAATTCTATTTTAAAGGAAAAGTAGTGCTTTATATTTAAATTCACAACACTTTAAAAAAAGGAACAATATATTCACAGATAATTTAGAGCTGAAATGAAGTCCTTTAAAAAATGTTCTATGGGATGCCAGGTATCAAAAAACCAGGCAGGCTCTCTTGCATTGTTTTGACTGACTTCTAATGTGTACCAGGAAACACAACCTAATACTGTTTTAATATTTTTCAAAATTAGGGTAACTCATTTTAACCTGAATCTGCCATCATCAACAGAAGCTATGTCATATGAAGTAAATTATTAAGATAAAGTATAAAACTAAAACAAATGCACACACAGGCCAGAGCACCCTCGTGTCATATACTTTGCAAATACTTCAATTTCTGGAAAATTTATCTCTGACAGTTTCAGATAACATGCAAACAATTAGGGAAATGAGGTCACCAGGTACAGGATTACACAAACAATGGCTCTGGTTGTTATCCCAAGTCTTATCAATAAATTGCTGTGTGTGAGCAAACAGTCTACAGCTGACTGCAGCCTAGAGGTT